GGTTTAGAGTATAGTGTAACCTAACGTTTAATGAGGAAACTAACAGTTATCTTTCTTCCATTACGCATCTGAATTTTAGGAAATGTCTTGACTTTTTCTGAAAAGAGAGTACCTGACTTAGTTGTGTCATAATTTTATTTTTTCACATATATTCCAATATTTAATTAACAAGAGGCCCATGTGCCTTATAGGTCACCTGAGCATCATGCAACAACTTTCTAACCATTAAATTTGGTTACTACGTATGTAGTTTTTTGTTTAATAGGTCCAGGAGCAGAGAAGATTTTTAAAGAATTATTGCATTTTCACTATATAATCAATAGAGCCCAAACTAACGCCAGAACCCCTATCCTGGGGCCATAGTTCACAATTTCAGAAGAGGCACCCTTTCTTATCATACAGATCTATGTATGTAGTTAGTTTGTTTAGTACCCTGGCCGGAGCAAGAAAAAGTATTTTTCAAAGAATTCATGCAATTTCACTATATCAATAGAGCCTCGCCCTAACACCAGAACCCATGACTCTGGGGCCATGAAATTTACAAATTTTACAAGAGACACCATAACTATGTATTTAGTAAGTTTGTTTAATACCCAGGAGCAGAGAAGAAGATTTTCAAATAGTACACGCACGTTCACTATATAATCAATAGAGACCCGCCCTAACCCAAGAACCCCTGACCCTGAGGCCATGAAATTCACAATTTTAGAAGAGGCGCCCTTTCTCATCATAACTATGTATGTAGTAAATTTGTTTAATACCCAGGCATAGAGGAGAAGATTTTCAAATAATTAACTAATGCAATTTTACTATATAATTAATAGAGCCCCACCCCTAAACCAGTGCCCCTGACTGGGGCCATAAAATTCAAAGTTTTTGAAAGGACACCCTTCCTCATCATAACTATACATTACATGAATTTTGCAATTTATAGAGGACCCAATGCTTATTACATTCATACAGTTATACTGCTTGATGTCCAGGAGTAAAGAAACAGATTTATAGAGATTGCATTAATTTTAGTGGTTTTTGCCCCCCACCCCTCAAGCCCCATGGGGACAGGGACCATGAAATTCACAATTTTTGTTACCATTCACCCATAGATGCTTTGTGCCGAAGTTGTTTGAAATTTGTACAGTTTTTTTTTTAAGAGAAGAAGCTGAAAATTTTCAAATGTTAACGCACAACGCACACCGCACGACGACGGACGAAATTTGATAGCTAAAAACTGATTGTTGAAGAAGTAAGTCCGACGCCTGTAGCTCTTTAATATATAATGCTTAATGCAGATTTTTTTATGGATGTGTTGTGGAGATTTTGTTTGTAAGAATCAAAATTTCACGACAAAAAAATTTTATAACTACAGATCGAAATCAAAGTTTGTGAATAAGTTTCATTTTCGCTTTTCATTTTTATCATTTTTTTTTCTATTTACTTGTTTCAAATAATCAGACTTTTGCTTAAGGTATGTCACTCGTGAAATTTGTTGAATCATTTATTGAGAAGTATATTTTGGATAAGTACTCATATAGAGTGACTCAAAATCGCAGAGAAAATAGGGGGTCAGTGTTCATCTTACTGATCTACGGTACAATGAAGTTGACCTTTTTGCACTTAAATCTTAACTCTTTGGTTAATTACTTAAACCTGTATTATATTTTATCAGATGTAACCATGGCAAAAAATATTATCTTATTTTACGTAAAATACTTTGATTAATATTTATTATTGAATAAATCTTGCAAATTAATGCGCGTAAATTATTGTGTGACCTTTCTGCACTAAAAAGTAACATATTTTGGGGTATTAAAAAACTAAATAGGCAATAAAACATTTTCTTAAATCAAGCTTTTTACGACTTAAGTGCTGATCAGTCACAAGTATCGAGTACTTTAAAATAATGAAAGAAAAAGTTGGGGTCAGTGATGTTAATTTTGAAATATTGGTCAAAATATGTAAAATATATAAATAGGCAATAAAACATTTTCTTAAATCAAGCTTTTTACGACTTAAGTGCTGATCAGTCACAAGTATCGAGTACTTTAAAATAATGAAAGAAAAAGTTGGGGTCAGTGATGTTAATATTGAAATATTGGTCAAAATATGTGATTTTCAGGCAAAAAATGGAGTTAATTTTATATTGACTTATTTGACATATCTTCATTTTTTGGCAAAGTTTGTTGAAGGAAGGTGTAAAACTTGTTCTAAAAATATAAATTAAGACCTATATCAAATATTCCTAGCAATATCATAATGGAAAATATTCTCCGAGTAAAAGTATGTGAGGCTAAAAGTCCAAGATATTAAATTTAATTCAGATTTGCAGAATTATCTGCTAAATATCCTTCCACCACAAAAAATAGTCCCTCACAAATCTTGCTTCTTTGTAGCTTTTTGAGCAGTTTTTTTTGTTGAATGTTAAAACATTAACATTTTTGAAATTAAATATGTTATTAAAATTGAATTTTGATAAATAGTTTTGAAGTAAGAGGTTCTGCGTGAACTTTTCCAAAAAGCTGACGAGTGACCTACCTTAAAAAACCCATTACGGAAGAAAGATGAAACCAGAAGTTTCTGTCGAGACTGTAGCTCTACTGGTTTGTACTTATAACAAAGGAAGAGAAAGGTAGTAGTTGGACTTGAAACTTTACAAAATTAATAAATAGAATAATGATCCTTGATTGAGTTTTTTTTGGTGGCAAGATTGCAATAAAACTACAACAGTGACTGTAGGAGTAGCTTTAAATAAAATTTTACAGAATTTTCAATTTTAGTTACCATGGCAACATCAATCATCAAAAACAAAAAAACAAAACTGACAATTATATATCTCGGTGTAGTCTACTTGTTTGCTAAGCTATATTGAAATCAGACCAAAACTGTAGGACGAGTAGCATTTTGAAGGTATTTCACAGAAATTACTATTTTAGTTACCACGGCAACACTGTTCATCGAAATCAAAAACCGATAAATAGAAATGCGTATCTTAGTGTAATCTACTTGTGTACCAAGTTATATTGAAATCAGACCAAAACTGTAGGAGGAATAGCATTTTGAATGTATTTCACAGAAATTTCTTTACTTAGTAACCAGGGCAACACCGTTCATCGAAATCAAAAACCGATACACAGAAATTATGTATCTCAGTGTAGTCTACTTATGTGCCAAGTTATAATTAAATCAGACAAAAGCTATAGAAGGAGTAGGATTTTGAAAAATTGTTTACAGACGGACAGACGGACGGACGCCGGACGCAATTTTTATATTTCAAAAATTTATTTTGTGAAATTGTATTATGTAAAACTTTGCTGTAGAAATTTGTGCGAAAGAAGTGGAAATAAAATTTAACAAAGGACTTTATTCAGTAAATGACCAGTATTTGCCCCCCAAATCAAACTTTGACGGAGAAATATATCATTACATGTATGTTCTAAACAGTGGGATATCTGCAGACTTCAAAGCACTGAATATTTTCATAAGCCATTATGTTATATGCTGGATATGACGTACGTCAGGAAAATGACGTAAATTAAAAATTTCCTTTATTTCTACAGAAAATATTACGTCGATATTTTGAGTATACATAGTGTGTAGGTCACCGAGCGCATGCAGGTCTGCTCCAGCTCAATATTTTGATATTATAATGTGAAGAATGATAAGTATCAATGTAATATTTAAAATTTATATTTTAAAAAAAATAGAGAGCAAAATTTGGTCATTTTATCCTCTCTCTGAAAATAATACAACATCCAAATAGTTTGTGACGTCATAAACACAAAAATTGTCAATAACGGTATAACCTAGCTACTTTGAAACTATAATATGTTTTGTTAATTTAGATTAGTCAAACAATATAATTATACAAGCCAGTATATTTCAAGAAATTTTCAAAATATGACTTTTGTTGGGCGAAAAAGTGCAATATACCGCATATATCCCCTTCTTGGTTTCAAAAATTTTGACTTTTAAACAACCATATTAAAAAAAAAACGGAAATGCAGATCCTAAAAAAATAATTATTTTTCAAAGAAATAATTATTGTTGACTTTTCCAATATTTGTTTACTGTAACCAGCACAAAAAAGTCTCATAATCTACCAATATGTAATCTATATTAGACTAGGACTATAGGTACTGTGAGCACTGAGCTCACTAAATGATACCCCGCCTCCCATATGATTATAATGGCAAAGTCCATGTTTTGCCCTGGGAGACCCAAAATAAGTGTCAGATCAAAAAGTAAAATAGGAGCAAAATGGCATTATGTCATAAAGAAATTGTGAAAGTATTTTATTAATAAATTTTATTAATGGTATAGAAGGAGTTGCGGATAAGAGATGAGTAACATTTAATATTATAAGGTTATTATTTTACTATTGGAAACCCAAAATACAATGTATGTGTAGGATCAAATCCTAAAATAGGAGGTTTACTATGGCACTAGGTAACAAAGATTCTGTGAAAGTCTCATTATATTTAATTCAGATATATAAGAGGAGTTGCGGATAAGAAATGGATACCCAAAAGCGTAACTGACGGACGGACATCCCGATCACTACTTTTCAAGCGAGAGTATAAAAAGGTATGTTAAAAATGAGAATTGTTGACAAAAATACCACGAAATGTTGATAAACGATATATATATCATGCCACCATTCCATTCAAAATGAAACAAATTATGAAGATTTACTGTCTTGAAATATGTTTTTATCCTTCCCTCCATACTTTTACTTTTGGATTTTTCTCCCATTTTTTCTATTTAAAACTACAACAGATGTGTGCGATATATGAATAATAATGTTTTATGTCGATCCGTAAAATCACAAGATAACGGATGTGTTTTTATTATGCACCACAACAAAAATTCCTCGTACATGTGCATCGAAGATGCGGCTAGCTTGAGTGGCAGGTAGATCTCCTAAATATAACCAATCGGAGCTCGTCCCCTACTGCTACGCTTTCTAGTTATATAGCGATTAGAGTTTATCTTATCGTCTCATTCTTACAAGTAGATTTTATCTTAATTTGTGTGATAAACAAATCAAGAGTGTAAAGTGGGAAAATATTTTTCGACCGAAAAAAAAATCTCAACATTTTTTTTCTTACAATGGAAAATATAATATCAAAAAAGCGTTCCTCTCCGGAATATATCTTTCACTCAGGACAAATAAAGCAAGAATTTCCTGTGGACGGTTACGATATTTATGACGAGGATGACGAAGCAATACGCGGCCAAAAGCGCGGTGTCTCCAAAGGAAGTAGCGACGGATTCCAGAGTATGTCGTCCCCGGAAAGTACAGATGACAACCTGCCAAATAAAAAAGCCAAGAAAAAATCGCTATCTTTTGAAGAAATTCAGACCCAACGTGTTCTTGCTAATGTCAGAGAAAGACAAAGAACACAGTCCTTAAACGAAGCTTTTGCGCAGCTGAGACAAATTATCCCAACACTTCCATCCGATAAGTTGAGCAAAATCCAGACTCTGAAACTAGCCACTCGATACATAGATTTCCTATATAACGTCCTCCGCAACGAAGAGCTTGTTGAGCCGTTTGGGACTGCAGGGAAGCTGGCTAGCTGTAACTATGTGGCCAATGAGAGGCTGAGCTATGCGTTCTCTGTGTGGAGAATGGAGGGAAATTGGGCCGTGCCCTCAGATTGAACCAACGCACAGTCCTGTACCTAGAGTAGGAACACTTATGGTAGGTACATGTAGCACGGCTAATGGTTCGGCATTATATATGAAAATATTTTCTCTAATTTAAATTTGTTAAAAATCAGATATTAAAATCAATTTCTTATCTTTATTTAGTAGTTAGTTCACAGGCTCTCATGCTTAAACCATTATGTTGTTTTCAAAATATCTTGAGTCTTCAAATTAGAGGCATTTGCATTGTTAAGGTGAGAGGAACTTGCTTTAATAGTTAATGATTTTTTTTTGATAGAATTTCTCAGACGTTTCACTCATTTAAAACATTGTACGTCATGAGAAAATGGCTAAATAACTTCATGTTTTAAGGAGAAAGTTCCTTTTTTCTCCTTTGTTCGTTTTAGTCAACATAAATAATACAGAAATATTTTTTAAATCTTACTTTTACATCGTTCTTTAACTTTCCGAGAGGGAGTGCATAAATTAAAACAATATTTGATAATTTTTTGTACATGTACAAACAAAATGATGCGAGATGGTGCATGTCGCTTTATTAAAATCTGTATTTTTAAACATTCAAACATATTGAATAAAACCTTGCAGAGGAAACAGTTACATTTAGTCAACAATATACAAATTTAAAAGTAAATAAACATTCCATCCATTTTTTAAATTTTGTTTATTTGTTTAGAATTTTTATGTATAACTTATTTCATAGAAATTATAAGATTTGGGGGGGGGGGAATTCAATGAAAGATGCTCAACTGGTCTAAAAGTAACGGGGGGAAAGTCTTCAAGTACTTTATAAAAAATACAAAAGTACCAAGGTGGTTTACTTCATCAACACATATATTTTTGTTGATAATAAAGGAAGTCGGTCACACATAAAACATAATTATATTAAATTTGTTACTAGTCTTTAAATCATAACCAATCGCCATTCCGCGGTACCTCATACTCTGTTACACTGTAGTTACACATTTAGCCATAATACGGAATCATTTGGAGTTTGAAATGAAAATTCTTATTGGGCAATAACTCCGTATTAGGTCCCAAACAACTGTGTGCCGTATATATTCCGTTGAAGAAGTCCTGAAATAAAATTCAAAATATCATTCAAGAGAACAAATTATTACAGTTAAATTACAAACAACGGTTTTCAATTCTTTGCCGCCATTTGTTTTCATCACATGCAAATACTTTTCACGGCGTCATGTGATCTGTTTTTAGCAAATCAAAATTCAATAAAATGTTAATAAGGAACTACACTCTAAATTCACATAACCATGCACATATAAATACATTCTCCATTCTTGGTAACACAATGGCTTAACGCATCCATTCTGTCGCAACATCCACACGGGGTTAGTCCGAGTTACAGAGCCATTCTCTGTACAAGTTAACATGCACATTACGCTAGTATACTTGTTCAAATGCATACATTTTGAAAACAAATATTATCTTCTACTCTGCTCCTGTATACTTAGCAAATCACAACTTACAAAGTGAATAAGTATGGTAAGCAAAGGTGTCTCTTCCAAAATTATTAAATTCATTACCGTAAATCTGGAAATTTTTACGTCGATTTTATTTTGCGAATCTGGGTCAAAATGCTGTTGATTAATTTTTAATCGTATGTATCATGATTTGTTACTGAGTACAGGCAAGTGAATGGGTCGCTGTTATGAAATATGTTTTGTTACTTATTACAGGCAAGTGAATCATGATTATGTATCATGATTTGTTACAGGCAAGTGAATGGGTCGAACATATGTAATATGATTTGTTACTTAGTACAGGCAAGTGAAATGGTCTGCTCGTATGTATCATGATTTGTTACTGAGTACAGGCAAGTGAATGGGTCGAACATATGTAATATGAATTTTTACTTAGTACAGGAAAGTGAAAAGGTCTGCTCGGGTGTATCATGATTTGTTACTGAGTACAGGCAAGTGAATGAGTGGCTCATATGTAATATGATTTGTTACTTAGTACAGGCAAGTGAATTGGTCTGCTAACATGGTATATGATTTGTTACCGAGTTAGTACTAGACTATTTGTGGTCCCTGGTCATTATATTTCTCTTGATTTATATGTACAGCATGTTTTCTCCTTGTTTGCTCGTTGTTTATTTTTATTTCTTAAAATTCTTAACAGTGCCATATCAATAGTCAGGTGACTGGTACGCTCTTGGATCTCCCTTTTGTCTTAATTATAGACAAAATGTGAAGTTGGGATTGCAGTTGTATACCATGAGACTTCCTTAACGTGACTTTGAATGTAAAAAATAGTTGGCGTATGAAGATTTCAGTTATGTTGTTTTATAATAAACACCAACTCAATTTACTACAGCTATTGGAAAATGATGCTACCATGTCTAATAAATTGACTCATTTTTAGAAGCTATTTTTATTACTTTAGGGAAATATGTATAAAAAAAAAATTAATCTAATCTAAACTTATTGCAGTAATAGCTATCAATCAATACAAGCGAATTTTTTCTTCTTATTTGAATAACTACAGTGAATGGAATGGTGAATTTATATACAGTGAATTTTTATTTTTAGGATATACTCGTATCTCCGAAATTTTCAGTTTTTTTTTTTGTTAATTACACTAATTTGCATTCAACCAAACATTTGTTGTCATTCATAATATTTACATGTACATGAAATCACCATTCCTTTTTGTTACTTTTACCAAAATGCAAGAAATAAGTATTTTAGAAATACTTAAGGATATTTAAGATATCAGCAAAAAATATCTATGTTGTGTTAAGCTGAAAATATTTACAAACATTATGTGCAAACAAATTGTCTTACAAAATATAATCGTTACCAGATGAGGTTTCTTATGGGAACAAATTCACGGGATAATTACCAAAACCCAAGCACTCCATTACTTCATTTTCTTTTAAAAATTTTCTTTGTAAGAAAGCAGTAGTTTTGAAATTGATTGATTATAAAAACCGTGTCAAAACCCCATTTTAATTAAAATTCAGCATGAAGGTTCTTGACATGTGCATTAATTTAATCGGCAAACAAATCTGATTGGCAAACTGAATTACAATTCTCATAAACTTCGGTCCGAGTTAATCAGCGTTAATTTGGCGCTTGCTTTATCTGTTAACAATCGTCTCAAATAAAATGACCATAACTGCGCGCCAAGATGCGCTGTCATCAGCATTTTATGCCTGTCAGATTCGCCACACGTTTATTGAAGACTTAGATTCCAAAGTAGTACGTGTAGCAAATCTGAAATGATCAACATTTATTTTATCAATTCTTCAGAAACTTTCACAATGATGAAGAGCTAGGTTGCAGCATTTTATTTAGCACATTAATTGGACCATAAAAAGTGCATTTGTTTTTCAGATACTGATTCATCTCGCCAAGGGGAAGTGGAGCTGTAAAGAGACTATAAACGGAGCGCCTTAACAACAAAGGGATGTGTCAGCAGACCTTCCAGGAACTTGAAAGTCGGTTCCAACATGAAAGAGTTGTGCATTCTAATCATCTTGGTGTGGGGAATATTTTTCTTAAGTTGCTGAATTAGTTTCGCGCAAAATAACGAAAGGAGCCTAGATTCGGAGGAATAAACTGTCAAGACTTGCTCTGTATAACATATATACTGACATATATATGTATACTGTATCTATGAATGAAAATGACAATACATTGTATTATGATTTTAACATTCCTTCAATTGTAAACATTCTTCTTTTTCTAACTTGTAGAAATTGCTAAACTTGTAAAAAAAAATTAGTTTAAATTAATAATAAAATCATGAAAACCTTTGTTCTTGTTTTTCCTACTCGTAGATAAAAAAAAATAAGCATTAAATCCAGTGATAATAAAATTATGAAAAGTTTAATTTTAGGATTCATCAACTCGTTTTTAAATTATTTTTAGGAGACGTGACAGTGTCTGTCATTTCTATAAGAGCAAGGAGAGGGAGAGGGCGTTATAAGTTTTCAGAACTTGTGCCCAATCCATTTGTAATTAAATTACAATAAAACACCTGGTATGTTCAAATCAAGAGCAAAGATGGTTTCAATGATATATATGGTATCATTTAGATTCAATTTGACTATTTTATATTAGAGCCAAGGTCATTACCATTTTCCCGAACATAGAGAATAAAAAAATTCTGTAACCAACCATTTGATGCCTTCTTCTATTTCAATAGATTATTTTTTTTTCTTTTGCATAAAAAGATATTACCATAAGATGATATTACCAAATTGAAATAAATAATAAACTAAAAATGATATTGGCTATTTCAAATTTTCTCTATTTTTCTTTGATTTTTAGGATATACTATTTTATTGATTGATTGTATGTTGTTTAATTCTCTCGAGAATTTTTCACTCATATGGAGACGCTGCCACTTGCAGGCTGAGAGCTGAAAATTTTTGCCGGCACTTACGGCCATTGAGCATTGAAGGGTCTTTTTCGTGCCAACACCTATTGCGACATTGGACCTCGGTTTATACGGTCTCATCCGAAGGACCGGTCTCCACAGTGGGAGTCGAACGTCGCGTAAAGGATATGCTTCCTATACTGTATACAGGGAAATTTTCGTCCTCGTTTTATTTTCGCCCCTCTCACCCTTGTCCCAAGTGGGCGAATTTAAAAGGGGGCGAATTCAAAGAAAACAGTACAAATTCTTGAACGGAACTGCAATTTAAAACGAGGCAAATTTGTTAGGAAGTGTATATGTAAAAGGGCGAAAATAACACGGGGCGAAAATAACCCTGTATGCAGTATTTAAATTTTTCTTAAGAAATAAATAACAAGTTTATAAACTTCAATGGGAATTGAAGTGGGTCGGTCACGTGATTAAATCCTGTGAAGGCCGAAGGCCTTCTCAGAAGATTTGATCACGTAGTCTTACTTCAATTCTCATTGAAGTTTATAAACTTGTTATTTATTTCTTAAATATATACATTTGAGACAAACGATTGAATATTTTCGAATATAAACTATTGCACTAACCTCCGTCGTAGATTTTGAAAAATGACGCAAGGTGTAAATCGGCTTGAATGGCGGTTACATTTCGAATTCACCAGGCTAGGATTTTATTTCTAAGGGACTATTTTGTGAAAGGCTACTTGTGATCAGTAATAGTGAACAGATTGTTGTCTGGGAATATTTCTATTCGTGAAAATTGATAATCAATGCTGAAAAGACACAAGAAACACGTCCGAAGATCGATGATAAAAAGTTGGAGGAATTTCGGTCGCCAGAAAGGGATGGATGATCCGATGGATGGAAACACTTGACCGTGCCAGTTAATTTGCAATCAAGTATTTAAGATCAAAAACATTTAACCTACGATATCAATTATAACTAAAGGCATATTTATGATGTAAACAAAACACGGAGACACTAGCGAAAGCGTACATTGAACTACGACAGCGCCGAGGTGTTTGTCAGCTGTTCGTGGCGTGATTGCAGTGCTTTGATATTTACAACAGATTTACACATTTATCGTGAGTAGAATTTGTTCAAAAAATGAGTTTATCATGAAGATTTAACTAAAAGTCTTCCCAAAAAATAAGGATAAACTGTACAGCTGAAAAAAGTGACATAAAACTTGTAAACAAAAGCTAGTTTCTATCGGTATATTCTCCATGTATACACAGGTTAAATCAATAGCCAAAAAACTGTATGAAACACTTGTTAAGGTTGTAAATAAAATAATTATTATTTTACTTGCATATTTTGACCAGTTTTATACATGAAAAGCAAGTAGAGCAAGTCATTTTATATTTATGCACCGGTAGATATTATTGCGCCGTGTGATTAGGTCACGTATTGACCTCTGACCTCAGACAAACTTCATACAGAATTGAAGATATTTGTTCTCCGTATGTTTATATAATAGAGAGATACCACAAATGTATATATTTACTTTTAAAGGCCCTTTCACAATTGGCGCACGACCACTTTACAACACTTTGCGATCGGAAAATTTTAGCTTCGCACGAGCTATCGCATACGTTGCACGATGTCTCGCATTCATTGCATGTGTTTTAGTGGTCGCATCAAGTCTCCTCAAAATAGTCAACATGCACACTACCCGGCCCACTGACTCGCACGAACATTCTTACTATGGAATGCATGAGCGCACGAGCACCGCACGTCCAATCGTTTTGTCGCACGTTAAATCGTCCGATTACCTGATCAGTCGTGCAATCCTATCGCATTATCTTACAACACTCGCTTTCATTCTACAACAGTCGCATATAGACGCAAGAGATATCGCGAGATTTAATGCACAACAGTCGCTTTAGATCGTGCAAATTTCGTACGAACACTTTTTTCATATGCGATTATTTTGGCAACAGTTTACGATCCTAACCAAAATTATTCGGTCGCACGAATATTTTGTCGCTTCTGCTCGTGCACCAATTGTGAAAGGGCCTTAAATTTGATAAAGATGTCACACAAAGATTCAAAATGATATAAAACCAAAAAGTTTTGATCGTTTATTATTAGAGAAAAAAAGAAATTTTTAATGGATTTTTAGCTCAAATCTGTACTTAGAATGGAAACTTTAAAAGTAAACATAATTTAACTAACATTTGAAAATTTCTTACTAATTTAACTAACATTTGAAAATTTCTTAAAGTCTTTGATTGTGCAAAGATTATAACCTTATTCATTGTTCTTTAATAATTTTTAGAGGCAGAAAAGAAAAAAAAATTATACACCGCCATTTCGCCAAAAATTAGTTTCTGCTCATTTCTATTTAAAGTTCAAAGTAGAAAGGCTTGGTCTAAATAGTGCTTTTTAAAATGTATATTGGGTATTTGATCCATGGTCATATTAACCAAAATATTTAATTTGAAGAAAATAAAAAAAAAAAACTCAGGGCAAATACCCACTGAGATGCCAAAATTGTGTTGAAGTACGAGGACAAGATCATTTTGCCTAATATAGTGTACAATTGTGCGCTTTTTCGTACGAATTTAGTCATTCTTTGTGAATTTGTAAAATTGTTGTGTTTTTTCCCAACCTCTGTGAGATAGTTAATTATGGATATTTTCAGTGGCAGATCCAGAAATTTTGAAAAGGGGGGACCCGACAAGTTTGAAGTCAGGGTAGGGGCCCACAGCCGTGATATAGAACATAAGAATTAACTAAAAATAAAAAAAATGCATTGTATAATTCTGCTTTAAGGACAAGATACATACCTGTAAGAAAAAATCTAAATCCAAATTCGTGTGATATAGGCTAAGGCGAGGCCACACCAAAACAACACTATTTATCAAATATTGTGTAGTTTTTTTGGACACAAAAGGTGGGGGCCGGGCCACTTAGCCCCCCTCTAAATCCGCCAGTGATTTTACATAAAGTTTACATTAACGTTAAATGAAAGATTGAGATTTTTTTTCTTTTATTTGTCGCACATAGGAATTTTGCTCGCCCTGCGCCCACTAAGCCTTTCTCTCTACATTCACGTACATGTAACTTACTTCTAATTGCTTTAATTTTTTTTTATTTGCCATTTTCCGTTTAGTTTACAAAACTAAAACGTTATTTGTTTTGCACATTTAACAATTCTTTTAAAGGCAAAGTTTGATCAAATAACAAACAGAAAAAAGACTCACACATGGAGACATTTTTTTTAAATTAAAGAAATCCTACATTACTGTTCATATACAAAATAAGTAATAGTCTAGTAGGTGTCTGTTTTAGATTACTTGTTTTCCGTTGAATTTCTGCGTTCTTCTTTAACACCTGTGCTTGTGCCATGTTTACACGACTCTTTGGACCAGCAATTCTTTTCATCTTTTTAGTGCAGTAATTGCATTAAAAGAAAAACGAAGGCATAACTACTAGTGAATGTTGGACAAATGGGTTCACTAGAGCTCCGCAATACAGATTTCATTAAGCTAATGTTGAATCGGCACGTGCGTCTAATTGCGCGCTTGAGAAAAGCCCGTTCATAATTGCTCAACGACTGTACTCACTTTTTTATATGTTTGCATCGGTTCTTCATTTCTCTTCAATGCAAAACATTTTCTTCACACACGCCTTAATGCAAAACAGACCTTGGCTACCTGCAGGCGCTAATAAATTTCTTTTATTTATTGTGATTTCTTGAACTTTATTTTACTTGACGGTAAACACACTTCATCAATAGGGAATTTTAAAGTAAATATTGATATGGAGGTCCCTCGAATGATTCCTTTTCGTAAAATGGAACGGAATAGATCAAACATGTGCATTTCTTAAAGATATTTTAAACTTCTTTGCAAATTAATGTTGAAGAGTTTTCTATTTGGTGGTCTTCCATTAAAGAAGCAGTTGATAATGTTGCAAATTTTGATACAGGGCCTTCTTTGTAAGGTGTTTTCCTATAGATCAAAAGGAAACGCAAACCTTCCGATTAAAGGAAAAGGGATATATGCAAAATATTGGCAAAGGGAAGCAGTACATACAGTAAAATTTTGACGTAGAGAAGGAAAATGTCTAAATCCTTGCTAAATTCCTTTTCTTGGGGCTGAAAAGGGAATGGGATTCTTGAAATAAAAATTTCCACATCAATATCGAAAACATACACACGCTTTCCCTTTATCCCATTTACTGACAAGCTGCATCCTCCAGTCACACGCAACCTTTGTCTCAAGTGTTACTTTCTGCTTCAAAATTCCAAATTTCTCTCCAGAACAATACATGTATCTGATAGCAGATACATTTTCTTATATTTGTTGTTTCGATCTTGTCCTCGTCCGAGTAACACAGACACACCTGTGGTCACATGTAACCCCAGGACGGAGTACAA